GATTTAGGAAGTACAAAAATGTTATTGGTTGTCTTGTTATTGAAGTGATTACACCTTCATTTTGTATACAAAACCTATCTAATTTTGTTTTATTTGCTCAAAATGTTTTCAATGCAAATTTTTCAAAACGAAATGTAAGTAGTATTAAATGATGAGCTTTCAAATTTTTTTAAAAATAATCGAAATTAATCAAAAATAATCCTTGAAAGTAGCCGATTACTTTTGATTATTTTTGATTATTTTCTCGTAATCCTAACTAACCTTAATTATTTTTGGATTATTTTTAATCATAATTAATTAATAATCAGGAATTGTTAAAAAAAGAATTATGTAATCAATACCATTCCTTTTCAAATTTAATCTAATTGATTACTAATCGTAATCCAAATTTAACAGCAATGCTTAAAATAATAGAGACCTCATATAAATGAAAGAAAAGAATATATTGGGGAATACGTTCAAATATAGTGCTATAATGGATGTGTTTGAAATGCCAGAATCAGAGATGAATTGAGAAGTTACCGGCCAGCCACATAAAAAGCGCTAATATAATGTAAAATCTACCAAATTTTTAGTTAGCCCTTCAAAAGGTGCGTGTATAAATTTGGCAGGTGGCGGATCATTGTTTGTAAGTCATTTTGGGTAAAAAAAACTATTGTTATAGGGTAAAATCGTATTAAAAGGAATTTCGCGGTTGATAAAATTTTGCTTTTTGAGGGGAAAAAGTACAGCTGCCCCAGGAACATCAACCATCACCGATTGGTATGCTAAGATTAGACATGGTGATATGAGCACCGAATACGGTGCATGCAGTGGACGCCCAAAAGTGATTGTTACCCATGCAAATACTAAAAAGTTCGGAAAGTGTGCAAAGTCGGTGCCGCGCGAGCTCACTCTGGACAAAGGCAACAGAGAAACGAGCATTCGGAAGAGTGTTTAGAGAAGTTGAAGCGTAATAAACTCGAGTTTTTGCATCGATATGTGGCAATGGATACAATTTGACTCTATAATTTTACTCTAAAGTCCAATTGACAGTCAACCGAGTGAACTGCACACGATGAACCCGCTTCAATCGTGGAAAAACGCAACAATTAGCTAGCAAGGTTATAGCGTCTGTTTTTTGGGATGCGCACGGAATACTTCTTATTGACTAGCTTAAAAAATAGGAAGTATCAACAGCGAATCACCGAAAACGGCCAAATTTGAAGAAAGTACTGTTTTACCAAAGCGATGACAAAAACCCATGAATTGGGCTTTAAATTGCATCCGCTTACACCGTATTCTCATATCTGGTTGCCAGCAACTATTTTGTGTCCTCAAATTTCAAAAAATTTTCGCTGTTAAGAAGTTTTGATAGAATGAAGAGCTGATCGCTGAAACTGAGACTCTTTTTGAAACAAAGATCCACTAATCGTACGATAAAAATAAAATTATTTTAGGAAAAATGTAATTTTTTTTAAGAATATTATTGCATCGATGCAGCTGAAGTTAGTGCTTTTTTTCCAAGCGATTACAAACCATTATCATCATCGAAGTGATTTTTACAACAAACACTATGCGCTTTGACATCTATTTTCTAACGAACTGTTAAAATTAATTGAATTCATAAAATTTTGTGTAATTATCGTTAATATTTCAGTTTTATTCCTGAATTTTGTTTATTTAATTTCAATTACCTCTGTTCGTTTAATTTACTTTTTATGACTAAAAATTCAATTCCTAATTATATACAAGCATACATATGTGCGAAAGAAAGTTTTTGCCATAAAATGCGTAATGCTTTTAATTATTGTCAAATATGAATAAACATAGGTTTATTATATAATTAAAGGATTACAGCGATATTATTACGATTATTGAATGCAAATGACTGAACTATTATTTTTAATTGTTGCAGGAGGGAATTGTTAATTATTGGCATATATTTACTATACATGTAAACGTATTGAATATGGTTTGTATACAATTTTATTTTCCGTTTAATTTCTAAGTGAAAATGTTGAGCTTTTCCTTAAATTTCTTCTCTTAAGTATGTAGAACTGAAAAAAATCTGTGTACGAAAGAAGAAAATTTTCGATTGTTGTAAGTTAAGGTTTGCTAGAAAAGTTTCTTGCACATAAATATTAAATCCGGTTACTTACAAGTATTCGTAACTGATGCTTCGACAAAATTTAACTGAAAGTAAAGAAGATACATTTTATTAGTTTAATATTTTTATTAATGTTAGAGGAGTCTAAATTCAATAGGAGTAATTATGGCATAAATAACGTATGCATGTATGCATATGTAGAGCTTCACCGCAACTAATGCTTTTTTAAATTCCAACAGCTTACTAGTGACCTTGATTTCGTAAACCATTGCTTTCGTGTATTGAGAAAATCGATAAATCTCTCACAAGTCCAAACACATACATACATATGTTGACCGGTGCACACACACACATGCACATGGGAAAATTTCATGTGAGTAGCACAAATCAACTCCCTGCGCCTAAATACATATCAGGGGCATTAGACGTAATCAGTGCAATCTTTACGCTGATAAGCACTGCCAGCAGCTGCAGCACCAGATGGGCGCCTGAAGTCACTGCCCACATACATACATACGTACGCTCGGTCCACTCTGCTGCATTTGATTAAAAATTCCAATCTATCACATTGCCTGTCAGTGGTAGAAAATTAAATTTTCCGTTAATATTGGATATAGTTACGCTCTGTGGCTGGAACCTCAGGCGGCTGCCAAGGTGTAAATGCTAGTTCAGATGCGAATTTGTTGGTGCCGACATTGGATTAAATGAAGGGATCACCAGCATTTCAAGTGGAATTATGGATATGATTACAGTAATGCTGCCCACGAGACCAAAGCCGATAGACAGTGTGCTAGAAGCTGATGGCTGGGCGCACATACATATGTACTATATATGGCAGCTATGGGCAAATATGTGCTTCTGGCAAGTATAAATGTATGTGAATGTATGTAGTTGTATATAGGTATAGTCCTTACTTGTATTTTCGCAGTTCACTGTAGTCATTGAAAGGCTCAAGGCATATCAGAATAGTTGATTCAAATGACATGAAAGTAACAAGATAATCTATGCCGGTTGACCCACATATAAGTATATCTATTTTATATATCTCCAAATGCAAAAATATTAGAAATACTATATATATTTACTATACAGTATTTTGAGAGAAATATCAATTTGCAGTGAAGCAGCAAAAGAACATCATACAACTTCCGCTCCGCTTTCTGAACATTTTAAGAGCATTATTACACACTTCTACAACAAGATTCGCACATCACCAGCGCAGTGAATGTCGGGCGAATAGAATTATGAAGAAATACGTCATAACAGAAAACTAGATTAAGGTCAATATCATAAGTTGCCGACTCTGAAAAGCACCACCACTGGGGAGAGCAGATATGTGGCTATGCAGTTGTTTGGTTGTGCGTGTGTTTGTAGCCATTACTCGAAGCTCAAACTTGAGAGATAGTTTGCTTTATGGCACTAACCATCTCAGTTGCAAGAATTAGTTGTGTACGTCTAATTAATTGCTGGCTACTTGCAAAGTTTAAACTAATTCTAAGTTCAAATTATTTACAAGTGAAGGGCAGTTTGAGGTAGAATAAAGTCTTACAGCGTTGGAGCAAAGATGAATGGCGTAAATAAAATAAACTATTCCATTTTATTCACAAAAAAATCACAACAGAAAACAGAACTTATCTTTGCCCCAATATATTCGATATATTGATTTCGTCCTCTCATCCTCATTAAATTAGCTCTGTTCTGGAAAAACTGAACGCGATATGGTATTCTAGATTTTGCTTAGCCAATATCGCAGTTTGAGGTGTATGTTGTGTGGTTTTGTGACTTTATTCCAGCAACCATGTTATCCAATGCCATCCACGGTTTCTGGACTAAAGTCACGTCATAGTCGCCCGCTGCCTCTTTTCAGCGATATACTCCTCAACGCGATTTACGTACGATGGATCCGAGCCATTGCAACCGTTACGAGTAGCAAAGTGCTTCAGCGCCTTCTTTTTCTTCTGCGAGTGTTTATAGACTGTGGCATCCATGCGTTTTAGAGCTGATTTGGCAGTAATACTATAACCAATGTAAACTGCTCCCGTTGCCGCTGGCGACACAGTTTAAAGGATCGCTGTGCCTGCCGGTGGACTGATATCCAAGTCTGCTTCGTTCCGTTGTTGACTTCTATATTGAGTTTTGTGAATCGGTGATCTCTACCCCTAACGTTTTATACCTACCGACAGGTACCTCATTAGACGTGGCCGTTGGATTACACATTCACCGACTTCTGAGGACGCATATAAAGCTGTTCAGCATAAATAAATGATTGGAGACATACGTCAGCCATGACATATATGAAACATATTACATTTTTTATTCCTGATAAATGGAAAAACTATTTCATACTTGTACCCAATTAGGTCCATATCATCTTTTGTTCCCAAATAGGCAAGTTGTAATCTCCAGAGACTATCAATTGCATTAACTGTTCCGATCAATATATTGGTTAATTTAAAGAAATTATTTAATGAAAATGTTTACAAAAACAAATAAGTTAACAGAATAATGCAGAGATGCTCCTTAGCTTAGCTCCGTATAACTTGTTAACCTTCTCTTCCAATTCTAATATAGCACGGATTATTATAGTTACTCTAAAGGGTCCAATTTCGATACAGATTCATTTGCAATGGAAGGATGCAGACTCTTTTATTCGAAAGCGAACAGTTGAGGAATTTGACGTTTGCATTCTTCAAATCAAATGGCAGCTGCACATTAGGTCCATTATGAAATATAGAAGATAAGTTGAAAATACGGAGAAAACGTAAAAAGGTCGCACATTTCCGAAATATTCAAATATTAGCTTCTCTTTGAAACTGCACACAAGTGGAACCACAAAAGTTTCTGACTTTTATGCCGCAACAATACGTTGCCAAATTGTGTTATGCACAAAAAACGAACGCAAACAAGCAAACAAAGCAGCAGGAGAAATGAAGAGCAGCAGAAAACAGATTGGCAAAGTCAACTTTGCTGACACCAGCCACCGCAAGGAAGTCGGGGATTGTCTGCCCGACGCCCTTTGGCCGCTTTGCATGGATAGTAATTTAATAATTTACTTTTCTTTTGGCCATTGAAAAGTGTGGCAACGTCGGGACGACTTTTGCAAACTGACAAAGCAATTTGAGCGCAACTGTTTGTGAAAAAACGAAAAAAGCGACCAAAAACGCAACGAAAACATCGAAAAGTTTCTAAATGACAAAATGTTCTTAGCGCAGCAACTTATTCTTCTTCTTATTACGCCTTCAAATGGAAATTCGTGTGTGTGTGTGTGTGTGTGTGTAGAGTTTTAAAGTTAGCTTTTGAGTTGCTTTTGTTGTTGCACATAAGTGCAGCACAAACAATCGAATTGACGCATATTGAGCGTATTTCCGTTTTCCATTCGATTTCCGAATGCCAACAACCGAAAGTTTCGGCTGATATCGCTCGTCTTGCATATTCCACTCCTTCGTGCTACCTTACTGTTTTGCATATATGGTAGGTACATAGCTGTTGTTGTTTCTTGTTTTTGTGCTTTGATAAATTTTCAACTATTTGCCGCTGCTTGCTGTTGGCTGTTTTTCTGTATTAGCGTAAAAAGTTTCTAAACAACGTTACTAATGGTCGCAGTGAAATCGAATTCGTTTGCTCGCCCATTTAAAATTAAATAGTAGCAACAACAACAAAATGAGAACTAACAAGCCGTGGCTAAAGTACGCTGAGAGCCATATATTTAAATGTGGCCGATCGGAAAATATAGTTGTCCCGTTCTTAAGAAAATATTAGCCCGACTTGTCATGTATGTTGATTCAATTATGGAAACTTGCCTTCTTTTCATAGAAATGTATAAAGCAGCACAAACTAAACACACCCAGCTGATTAGTGGTGCTTCCAGTCAAGCGTAACCATTCCTTTATAATACATACTTGTATATGGAGTGTTCTTTAATTGAAACATTTTTTCTCCACACCAATATCCTTTCAGTAGGCCCTGACAATGTTCAGAACTTACTTTTTCTATACAAAAACAAGAAAAGACCGAAAACTTCGGTTACGCTGAAGCCATAATACCCTTAATAGATACAAAAGTTTCCTCATCAGAATTTAGTTTTATTCGGTCAGTTTGCAGAGCAAATTTATGATATAGTGACACTTTATAAACTATTTATGATAGCCCCTTGAAATGAATAAGTACCTCATAAAAGCACTTCATTCCAAGTGTTCAGTATATATAGGAGCTATACCCTATAATGTACCGATGTCGGCGGCTCCAACAAATTAGCAGTTTCTCGGGGAGAAAAGAATGTGTTCAAAATTCCAGATCGATCTCTAAACATGAGGGATATACAGACAGAAGGTCATGGCTTAATCGGCTCAGCTCATAATAATGATAATTTATATAACGAGTGTTCCAAGTAGAAGAACTTTTTTTCAATAGCCTGTTTTGACAGATTACGCATGAATCGTGTCAAGCTGTTCTTATTATACCCTGAATAGGGTATATTCAATTTGTCATGAAGTTTGTAACACCCAAAAGGAAGCGTCGAAGACCATATAAAGAATACATATAAATGATGGTAATATTTCTTCACAAAAGTTGGTTATTTTCTAAGATAATAATGTAATATACGAAGGCTGAAGATCGCCTGCTATACAAACTGAACGATCGGAATCTAGTGCTGGTATGGAAAACTGACAAGATATATTCAAAAAATTTTTCAGATTCGATTACAATAGCATATAGCTTCTATAGAAACTAAACAAATTGTTACTAAAATAAATGCACCTGTGAAGGGTATATTAGCTTCGGTTTCTTGTTTTTATTCAGTATTGTTTGGCATTTCATAATAGACGTTCTTGCGCCCGAACAATTTGGCGCATTTTACGTCGAGATCTTAAACTAAGAGCATACAAAGTATAGCTTGTGCAAGTACTGAAGAATATTGTTCAGTGATGAGGCACATTTCTGGCTCAAGGGGTATGTAAACAAGCAGAATTGCCGCATTTGGGACGAAGAGCAACCTGAAGAGATTCAAGAGCTGCAATTCCATTAAAACAAAAAAAAAAAAAAACAGTTTGGTGTGGTTTGTAAGAAATTTGGAGTTTCTGTGGCT